GCAGATGGGATTCTGCCGAAACGTTGCTACAACTTTAAAAGCACAACTACAATGACGTGGGAAAATATCCGAACAAAGCTGAATGCCATATATATATATATAAAATGAAAATGAAAAGTAATAACTATGAGTAATAATATGTTCATTTGAGTAAAATGTATGGTATCAAACTGATGGTTGCAACATTGAAATAATCCTCTGGAATGACCAGTTAATTCGTACCTTCCTCTCAAATAAGGGGTCTTTGTAGCCCCCTTCTCTTTTATTTTTTATTTATTTATACTTAAAAAAAACCCACTAGAAGCAGTTCCTATTTTGTAGGCATGGTGATCAGATAGTGGTTTTATTTCCGCCAACGCTTTTGATTCATTCTGCCAAAAACGGAAGGTGCAGAGCAGGCGAAGGGGTTGAGTTGAGCTTGGCTGCTGACTGGAAGGTTTGGTGTTTCCTTATTTCAACTTTTAAAAACCTTTGTTGCGGGGATTGGGTCTCGCTAGTCTAGAGAAAAGAAGGACCAGGAGTGACATGTTAGCATTATTCCAGTATTTGAGGGGCTGCCACAAAGAGGAGGGGGTCAAATTATTTTCCAAAGCACCAGAAGGCAGGACAAGAAACAATGGATGGAAAATAATCCAGGAGAGAAGCAACCAGGAATTGATGAGAAACTTCATAACAGTGAGGACAATTAACCAGTGTAACAGCTGGCCACCAGAAGTTGTGAGTGCTTCATGACTGGACAGAGTATCTGTCTGAAATGGTATAGGTTCTCCTGCTTGACCAGGGGGTTGGACTAGAAGACCTTCAAGGTCCCTTCCAGCTCTCCTCCTCCTCCGCTTCTGCTTCTGTTTCCTCTTCTTCCTCTCCTCCTCCTCCTTATCATCATCATCCTCACCTATAAGGTGGGGATCTCTGAGTAGTCTCCCATCCGTTTACAGATCTGACCTGACCTTGCTTGTTTTCCAAGTCAGATGAGAAAGCCAGATGAGTTACACTTGTCGAGAACCATAATTAGTGATAAAACAATATTAAATCTGGTATAGTAAAAAAAAAAACAGGTGCAAGTGGACAAAATGAAGTGGTTTTATTTTTAAAATGGTTTCATTTAAAAGCTACTGGACTATTAAAAGGATAGTGTGAAATATTGATTTATAAGTTGTGTGTCTCCTTCAGATCCCTGTGTGAAACTTTTTCTGACCAAGACGAAAAATATGTTCTTTGCATTCATATCTGATGCTGTTTTAAGACTGAGGAGAATGGCCCACATGTGATTTTGCAATTATAGTTTTAAAGCCAGGGAAACATTAGTTTCCAACCCAAATTTAAGCCCTGGCTTCATTTTTTGGATCTGTCCTCCGGGAATGGTACAGGACACCGAACTATTT